GCTTGTAGAGTTTATCAACAGGTATAGATTTAAGACACCCTTTAGGTCACTATAGATGAAGATCAGCCTTATGGTAGTCTGATCCACAATAATGCAGTAAAGCCACCTTAACATGGCCTTGCCCTGTGTTATCTAATGTTGAGGAAAGTCTGAATTCTGCCTCAGAATTCAAGCTTTTCCCCCAAATTAGGGCCAGTGGAGACAGTTGGGCTTTTCTCAAACGGAATCAGCCACAACTGTGCTTACTGCCATCCCACGTTCTCCAGGCTCAAACAGCCCAGGAATATGATATAGCAGTCCCCTTCCCCTTGCCCCCTCCCCATGTCAGAGTGGTTTCTTGCCATGCCCTGAGGATTGCTAGAAAGGGAGGGATTTCCTCCTCTTCCCTCGGCACCCTATCACTCTGATTGAGGTCAGGACAAGCAACAGGGAACAGGTAAGTCCCATATCATGACTGGAGACCACTGTGACAGAGGGAATGTGGGCCAGGGGGGATAGTTAGGGTGGCTACCCAGTGGTGCTGAACTGAGTTCAGTGTCACTGGATGGGGTGGGTAGGAATCCCTCCTGTCTCCATAGTGGCTGCTATAGTCCTTGTGGGGACATTTATCACGACTGACTTGATGTCCAACATGCCATATTGGCTCCGAAATAAGTGTCAGTGAATGGTTTATACAGTTCTGCCCTATGTTGCTTTCCTGATTCTTCTTGCTTCCACCCCAGCATTTACTACCAAAAGCAGCTAACGTTTTCTAATATAGCTAGTTTTGGCTCAATTACATCACTGACAGGAGTTTCCAACACATGTATCCTCCCTAGTTGGAAAGTCAAGCATCTCAGCTCACTAACATCCAGATCTCCCTGCCATTTACTTGTGTACTCCCATCAGCTTCTACAAAAGCTGAAGACCTCCTCTCTTTTCAAATGAAAACTGCCAGCCCAGGCCTGATGTGTGCTGTTTTGAGAGTCAGAAAAGCTAGAAGTGAAGTTTTAAATTGCGATGGGCAACTGCCTTGAAACCAAGAGTCACATTCTTGGTATTGGGAATGCCTGAAGGCCACACTTTTTAAAAATGTATGAGGGAGATGTAGAAATACAGAGGGGGGGGGGGTGTGAACCAGCTATAAATGCATAAAAATAAATTGATCAAATATAATTTAATTATAAAATCACTGTAAGAATTCTATACCTATAAAATGCTTTTTCTGAATGGCATATTGGGTTTTTAAAATTTTATACAAAACTGAACCTAATGAGGCTTTAATGACCAAACATAATTTGTATGGGACTATGGCTACAAAAAAGAATTAACCCCACTCAATTCGTCAACTTTTGGCCAGTTTCCAATCTCCCCTACTTGGGCAAAGTCTTGGAACGTGTGGTGGCCTCGCAACTCCGGGAATTCCTGGTGGACACGGACTATCTAGATCCGGCATAGTCGGGCTTTAGGCCGGGACATGGTACTGAGACAGCCTTGGTCGCCTTAGTTGATGATCTGCGCCGGGAACTGGACAGGGGGAGTGTGTCCCTGTTGGTTGTACTGGACCTCTCTTCGGCCTTCGATACCATCGACCACGGTATCCTTCTGGGATGCCTCGCGGGAATGGGTCTCGGGGGTACTGCCTTGCAGTGGCTCCGGTCCTTTCTCAAAGGTCGCTCCCAGAAGGTGTCACTAGGGGACTCCTGCTCGACTCCTTGGCCATTGCACTGTGGAGTCCCGCAGGGCTCAATACTGTCCCCTATGTTGTTTAACATTTACATGAAGCCACTGGGAGAGATCATCCGGAGTTTTGGGGTGCGATGTCATCTGTACGCAGATGACGTCCAACTCTATCACTCTTTTCCACCTACCACTAAGGAGGCTGTTTAGGTCATGAACCGGTGCTTGGCCACTGTCTCGGACTGGATGAGGGACAACAGATTGAAACTAAATCCAGACAAGACAGAGGTACTCCTGGTCAGTCGTAAGACCGAACAGGGTACGGGGTTACAGCCCGTGCTGGACGGAGTCACACTCCCCCTAAAAGCTCAGGTACGCAGTCTGGGAGTTCTCCTGGATTCATCGCTGAGCCTGGAACCCCAGGTCTCAGCGGTGGTCAGGGGAGCTTTCGCACAATTAAAACTTGTGCGCCAGCTGCGTCCGTACCTTGGGAGGGCTGACTTGGCCACGGTAGTACACGCTTTGGTTACATCCCGCTTAGATTACTGCAACGCTCTCTATGTGGGGTTGCCTTTGAAGACTGCCCAGAAGCTGCAGCAAGTCCAATGCGCGGCAGCCAGATTACTAAGGGGGGCTGGGTACAGGGAGTACACCACTCCGCTGTTACGCCAGCTCCACTGGCTGCCAATTAGCTTCCGAGCACAATTCAAAGTGTTGGTGTTGACCTATAAAGCCCTAAATGACTCCGGCCCTGTTTATCTCTCCGAACGTATTCTCCCCTACGAACCATCAAGATTACTAAGATCATCTGGAGAGGCCCTGCTCTCGGT